AGTTTCGCTCTTGTTACCCAGGCTGGAGTGCAATGGCGCGATCTCGGATCACGGCAACCTCCACCTCCTGGGTTCAGGCAATTCTCCTGCCTCAGCCTCCTGAGTAGCTGGGATTACAAGCACGCGCCACCATGCCCAGCTAATTTTTTGTATTTTTAGTAGAGACGGGGTTTCACCGTGTTGACCAGGATGGTCTCGATCTCTTGACCTCGTGATCCACCCGCCTCGGCCTCCCAAAGTGCTGGGATTACAGGCTTGAGCCACCGCGCCCGGCCGATTACTATAGTTTTAAGTAAATTTTGAATTTGGGAAGTATGTCTAATTTTGTTCTTTTTCAGATTGTTTTCAAGATTGCAAAGGCTCTTTGCATTTCCATATAAATTTTAAGATCCATTTATTAATTTCTGCAAATAATTAAGCTGAGACTTTGATAGGGGCTGCATTTAATCTATGGATTAGTTAAGGAATATTGCCATCTTAACAAGTTTTAGGTCCCTGAACATGAGATGTTGTTCGTTTACTTAAGTCTTTAATTATTTTCAGCAATGCTTTGTAGTTTTCAGAGTGTTTTACATTTTTAAAAGTACTCTTTTAAGCATTTTATTGTTTTTGATGGTATTGTAAATAGAATTGTTTTACTTAATTTCATTTTGTTTGCTCATGGCTACTTTATAGAAATGTAATTGATTTTTATATATCGATCTTATATTCTGCAACATTGCTGGACTCATTTATTAGGTCCAATTAGTGCATTCCTTCAGATTTTCGATATACAAGATTATGTTATCTGCAAATAGAAATAATTTCATCTCTTCCTTTCCAACCTGGATGCCTTTTATTTTTCTTACCTAATTATCTTGACTATAATCTCTACAAGAATGTTGAAAAGATGAGGTGAAAACAGACATCCTTCTCTTGTTACTTATCTTGGCAGGGGGAAAGGGGGAGAACATTTAATCTTTCACCACTAAGTGTGATATTCACTGTGCATTTTTCACTTGTGTCTTTTATTAGGTTTAGGATCTTTCCTGCTAGTCTTAATTTGTTGTGTGGTTTTATCATGAAGGGGTATTTAATTTTCCAAATGCTTTTTCTGTGCCTATTATGATTATCATATGGTTTTTGTCCTCAGTTCTTTTGATGTGGTCCATTGCATTAATTTATTTTCAGAGGTTAAACCAACCCGACATTCCTATAATAAATCTAACTTGATTGTGATGTATAAGTATAATATATACATATATAATGTACACATATAAGTCCTTTTCTACATTACTGGGTTCAGTTTGCTAGTATTTTGTAGGGATTTTTACATCCATGTTTGTAACAGCTATTGGTCTATAATTTTCTTTTCTTCTAATATATTTGTCTAACTTTGGTAGCACAGAAATACTGGCCTCGTGAAAAGAGTTGGGAGGTGCTTCCTCCTCTTCTACATTTTGAAAGAGCTTTTGAAAAATTGTATTATTCTTTAAATGTTTGCGAGAATTCACCAGTGAAACCGTCTAATCCTGGACTTTTCTTTGTGGCAAGGTTTTTCATTACTTATTCAACCCCATGTTATAGATATATTTAGACTTCATTTCTTTTTTAGTCAGTTTTGAGAGTTTGTATCATTCTAATAATTTGTCTATTTAACCTAAGGCATTTATTGTGTTGCTATATAGTTTATGATTGTTCATAATATTCCCTTATAATTCTTTTTATTTTCATAAAGTCAGTAGTAATGTCTCCCCTTTCTTTCCTTAATTTATTAATTTGAGTTTTCTCTTTTTTTTTTCTTGGTCCATCTAACTAAAATTTGTCATTTATTAATTTTTTTAAATAACCAACTTTTGATTTTATTGATTTTTTTCTAATGTTTTTCTTTTCTCAGTTTTATTATTTTCACCTCTAATCCTTATTATATCCTTTCTTCTGTTTCCTTTAGGTTCCCATATTTATGAATTTCCCAAAGTTCTCTCTGTTATTAATTTCTAATTTTACTCCATTGTGATTGGAGAACGTGCTTTATATGATTTCCATTCTTCCATGTTTATTGAAGTTCGTTTATGGCCTAGAATATTGTCTGTCTTGGAGAATGTTTGGTGTACACTTTAGAAAAATGTAGTCTGCTGTTTGGGGATGGAGTGTTTTACAGATGTTTGTTATTACTAGTTTGTGTTGAAGTCCTCTATTTCCCTGTTGATCTTCTGTGTAGTTGTTTCTTTTATTTTTATTTTTATTTATTTATTTTTTTTTTTTAGACGGAGTTTCACTCATGTTACCCAGGCTGGAGTGCAATGGCGCGATCTCGGCTCACCGCAACCTCCACCTCCTGGGTTCAGGCAATTCTCCTGCCTCAGCCTCCTCAGTAGCTGGGATTACAGGCACGCGCCACCATGCCCAGCTAATTTTTTGTATTTTTAGTAGAGACGGGGTTTCACCATGTTGACCAGGATGGTCTCAATCTCTTGACCTCGTGATCCACCCGCCTCGGCCTCCCAAAGTGCTGGGATTACAGGCTTGAGCCACCGCGCCCGGCCCTGAGTAGTTGTTTTATCCATTATCGAAAGAGTGGTCTTGAAGTTTCCATATACATTTATAATTGTGATGTATTCCTTATGGATTGACCCTTTTGTCATTATTAAATATCCCTGTATATCTCTAGTAATGTTTTTAAACATCCATTTTGTCTGATATTAGTATGGCCACTCTAACATTCTTGTGTTTGCTGTTTGCATGATGTATTACATTCTTTTACTTTTTTTTTTTTTTTTTTTTGAAATGAAGTCTTGCTCTGTCACCCAGGCTGGGATGCAGTGGCGTGATCTTGGCTCACTGCAACTCTGCCTCCTGGGTGCAAGCGATTCTTCTGCCTCAGCCTCCTGAATAGCTGGGATTACAGATGCACGCCACCATGCCCAGCTAATTTTTGTATTTTTAATAGAGACGAGGTTTCACCATGTTGGCCAGGTTGGTCTTGAACTCCTGACCTCGTGATCCACCTGCCTCAGCCTCCCAAAGTGCTGGGATTACAGGCATGAGCCACCACGCTTGGCTATTCTTTTACTTTTAATCTATTTGCTTCTTTCTCCTTTTTTCTTTTTTCTTTTTTAGAATAGAGATGGAGTGTCACTATGTTGTCTAGGCTAGTCTCAAACTTCTGGGCTCAAGGATCCTCCCACCTTGGTTTCCTAAAGTGCTCAGGTTACAGGCTTGAGCCACCAGGCCTGGCCTTGTATCTTTCAATCTAAAATATATCTTCTGTAGGCAGCATGCAGTTGGATCTTGTTTACAGTTAGATATTCTCTGCCTTTTGACTGGTGTGATAAATTCATTCTGATTTAAAATCATTATTGATATAGTTGGTTTAAATATGCAGTTTTGTTTTTTCATATAACTCATGTCTTTTTCCCTCTATTCCTCCTTTACTGCTTTCTTTTGCATTAAATGAATGATTCTGGTTTAAGATTTTAATTCATTTGATCATTTTTTATTACATATTTTTCAGGTATTTTCTTCGTGGTTGTTCTAGGGGTTTTCACATACATCTTAACTATCAGTGTGCTTTTAATTTATACTAATTTAATTCCAATGAGATGTAAAAATTTTACTCCGATATAGCTGTCTTCCACCTTCCTTTTTGTGCTATTATTATATATATATAATATTTGTATATGCTAAAAACTAAACAATACATCATTATAGTTATTATTTTACATAATTTTATGTTTTAAAGAAGCTGAGAAAAGGACATGTATATATTTGTTATTTTATATTATTTTCATTTGTTCCTGTGGGTTTGAATTACCTTCTAGTATAATTTCATTATTTTTGTATAACTCTTTGCTTTGTGACTTGGCTAGACTATTTTTGAAGTCTCTTTCCCTGCAGTGTGAACCTTTCAATTGTTGCTTCTAGGAGTGCATAGGTTTTGGCTTGCAGGTTTTCTTTAAGTCAACCTTTAGGCTTTCTTTGACTTTTTCCCAGTCTCTCTATTAAGTTGTCAGCCCACATGGTGAATATTACATACACTCTAGGCTCCACTAATTACTAGCTGATGGCTCTATTTTGTTTTTGGTTTGTCTGTTTTGTTGGCAGTGTCCTGAAGCATGCATTGCTCAGCAGCCTTTTCTAATTAAACTCTAGCAGGAGTAGTTTGTGAGGTAAGTCTTTAAGGTTTCTTCATACCCCAGAAGGGCGGGCTCGTCTTACCTATCTCTGTCTCTTGTTGTCTCTGATGAACTAGCTGGCATACGTTGCTCTTAGTTAAGTGAACTTGTAGTTTTTGAGAACATTCTTAGGCTTGAGCTTCTTTATACTATGTTAAAAATAAAGTTAGTTTTGGGGGGAGAATTTCAGAGCTCTCTCATCTTACGAATTTCTTCTTTCCATGGGCATACTCTCTTAGCAGTGTTCTGGGTGCTGAGCAAGGCAGCAGCTTCTGGTCTTAGTTTGCCTGTCCTGGTGTGGAACCTACCCTATGAGCAAGATGGAATGAGGGTGATCAGGTCCCCAGGATTCTTAGCCTATTACACTTGGGATATAGCCTCCATTCTATGAGTTAAGGCTGGGAGGAGAAAGGGATCCTCCAGCCTCTTAACCACATTTGCCAGGAATTTAGCCTCTGCAATTCTGAGCTGAAGGGAATGCTAAATGCTAGCTCTCTGCTCCTTCCAGTAAGATGCCAAAGCATTGATGGGACATTCTCTCCAAGAAAAAAGGGAGCTTCATCTTGGCTATATACACCTTAAGTGGAGCTTCTATCAAGCTAAGCTTGGAGCCGGTAGTGAGAGGACAGTAGGAAGGTTGGGAACAGTAGCATGACACACATGTCAAAGACTATATTCTTACCAAATTTCAGTAAATTTTCTTGAATAAAAATATCTTCATGTGCTGTATTCCATTAAGACAATTTCCATAGATTTTAAAAGGTTGTTTTGTTGTAATTTTTGCCAGCTAAGCTTGTTTCATTAGAGAATGGATCTTCAGAGCTCTTCATGTCATGCCAGAAATGAAAATCTCAAGATTGCTTTTGTGTGATGATCTTGTATCTTGAAGCCTTGATTAACTCACTTATTAGTTTTAGGAATTTCTATAGTCTAGGGGGATATTTCTATGTAGGCAATCATGACATTTGCAGATAGGGAATTTTTAAAAACTATTTTCCAAACTGTACACCTTTTATTTCCTTTTATTGCCTTATTGCAGTTGTTAGAACTTCCAGTACTATGTCAAAAGAGTGGAGAAGGTAGAAATCCTTACATTAGTCCTGATGTTATGGGGAAAGCATTTAGTCTTTCACTTTTAATTATAATGTTGGTGATAGTTTTTGTTTGCTTTGTAAAAGTTTCTTATCAAGTTGAACTTAAACAAATTTACAAGAAAAAAGCAAAAAGCCTATTGAAAAGTGGGCAAAGGAAATGAACAGACACTTTTCAAAAGAAGACGTACATACAGCCAACAAACATATGAAAAAAAGCTCAACATTACTGATCATTAGGGAAATGCAAATCAAAGCCACAATGAGATACCGTCTCACACCAGTCAGAATGGCTATCATAAAAAAGTCAAAAAATAACAGATGCTGGCAAGATTGCAGAGGGAAGTGAATGTTTATACACTGCTGGTGGGAATGTAAATTAGGTCAACCATGTAGAAAGCAGTGTAGTGATTCATCAAAGAGCTAAATACAAAACTGCCATTCAACCCAACAATCCATTACCTGGTATATACCCAAAGGAATATAAATCATTCTATTATAAAACACATGCACACATATGTTCATTGCAGCACAATTTGCAATACCAAAGACATGGAATCAACTTAAACGTCCATCAGTGATAGACTGGATAAAGAAAATGTGGTATGTCTATACCATGGAATACTATGCAGCCATAAAAAAGAATGAGATTGTGGCCTTTGCAGGGACATACATGGATGAAGCTGGAAGCCATTATTTTAGCAACCTAAAACAGGAACAGAAAACCAAATACTGCATGTTCTCCCTTATAAGTGGGAGCTAAATGATGAGAACACATGGACACAAAGGGGAACAACACACACTGTGACCTACCTGAGGGTGGAGGGTGGGAGAACAGAGAGGATCAGGAAGAATAACCAATGGGTGATAGTTAATAGGTATTAGGTACACCTGGGTGACAAAACAATCTGTACAACAAACTCTTGTGACATTAATTTACCTCAGTAAGAAACTTGCACATGTACCCCTGAACTTAAAATAAAAAATAAAAACATAAAAATCTTAAGCGTAACCATTCAGAAACCACCAATTAACCTCTAACTATGGACTTTCTACTGTAAGCAGTCAAATGTTTAGCTTTCTTCTGAGAACACTTCATAAAAGTTTTCCCTTGATCCCCCTCAGTGGAGCACTGAACTGCTCGTGTATTGTGCTGCTCAATTCATGAATTGCTGAATGTTCAAATAAACTCTTTAAAATTATTTAAAGAAAGGAGTTCCTATCAAGGTTAGGTAATTCATCTCTATTCCTAACTTGCCAAACATTTTTATCATTAATGGGTTTTATGAAGTGCTTTATCAGTGTCTATTGATTTTTCTTCTTTAGTTTGTTTATGTGGTAGAATACATTAATTGATTTTTTGAATTTTGTTCTAGTCTTGCATACCTGTACTAAATCCCACTTAATCATTGCATTTACAGTCATCTCTCAGTGTCTGTGGAGGATTGGTTCTATGAACCTCTGCAGATAGCAAAATCCATGAATGCTCAAGTCCGTTATATAAAATGGCCTAGTATTTGCATATAATCTACACATATCCTCTCATATACTTTAAATCATCTGTAGATTATTTATGATACCTAATACAATGTAAATGCTACGTAAATGGTTGTTATACTGTATTGCTTTTTCTTTGTAGTGTTTTATTCTTGTTATTTTTATTGGTTTTTTTTTTTTTAAGTATTTTCTATCTGCAGATCTGGAACCCACAGATACAGAGGACTGACTGTAATTATTTTCATGTAATGTTGGATTCTGTCTACCAATATTTTGCTGAGGATTTTTGCATCTAAGTTTATGAGAGAGTGAACTATAGAGTTTTGGGGTTTTTGGTACTCCGTTTGTATGGTTTTGCTATCAGGGTAATTCTGGCCTCATAAAATTCAATGGAAAAAATCCCTCCTCTTCTTATTTCCTTGAAAATATTGTTTAAAATTTGCATTAATTCTTCTTTAAAAGTGTTACAGACTTTTGAAGTACACCCATTTAGGTCTGGAGATTCCTATTTCTGGAGATTTTATGTTGAACTAAATTACTTTAATGTTTATAGGACTATTTGAGTATCTATTTTATTTTTGACTGACTTGTGAGAGGCTGTGGTTTTCAAGGAATTGATCTATATATTCTAAATAGTTAAATTTACAAGTGTAAATTTGTTTGTAGTATTCCAGTATTAACTAGCTTCGGGCATCCAGTGCTTTCTGCAGCAGATAAGCAAATTTCAGATGCTTTCTTTCTCTCTGAAAGTGCCTGATTCTTCACCTTTCAAGGTAATAGTTTTCTCTATGGCCTAAGTTCTCTAATGGGTCCCAGAAAAGTTACTGATTTTCAGTGTGACCAGATTTTCCATATTGTAAAGATGAGAGCAAGAACTCCCAAGCTCTTGGAACTGAAACTAGAAGTCCCTTACTTAGCTGTTTTATAAACCCACAAAATAGACGTTTTTATTGTTGTTTCTCAAGTCAGTGTTGGCTTAGTTTGACCCACATGTTTTCCATTTTACTTGCTCACCTTTTCTTCTTGTCTCTTAGCCCTTTCTTCTGGTACAATTTTTCTTTTGTCTGAGGTACATTCCATAGAACCCTTATTGAGGGAAATAAATTATCTTAAGAGTTGTTTGCATAAAAATGTGTTTATGGGATCCTCATTCTTGAAGAGAGTTATTTCTGAGTATACAGTTCTGAGATAAAAGTTATTTTCTCATAGAACTTTAGTAATATTATTTTACTATCTCTGGTTTTCATTATTGCTTTGAGAAGTCAACTGCGAATCTAATTGTTACTCTTGTTAGGTAAACTGTCTTTTACCTTTGATTGCTTTTAAGATCATTCAGCTTTGGTCTTCTGAAATTTTATTATGATTTTTCTAAGTGTTGCTGGTTTTAATTTTTTTTTTTTTTTTTAAGTCTGGCTTGCTTCCCTAACTTGAGGACTTGTATCTTTCATCAGCTCTTTTCTTTCTGGAAATCTAATCAAACCCATGGTAGACTTTATCATTCTAGCCATATGTTTTAATCTCTATTTTATATTTCCATATCTTCTTATTCCTATGGTACTTTCTATATAATTTCTTCAGATTTATTTTCCAGTTCACTAAATATCTCATCACCTCTGTTTAATTTACTGTTTAACCCTCATACATTGAGTTTTTAATTTTAATGCTCTCATTTCTAATTTCTAGAAGCTATATTTGATTCTTTAAAAAATTCATGTGGTCTTTCTTTGATAGTCTCACATTTTGTTGACATATTTTTGATACCTCCTTCATTTCTTTAAACATACAACCAATGCTTGTTTTACAGTATAAACCAGATAATTCCAATTACAGTTTTTGCAATTCTGATTTTTTGGTTTGTTTTTGTGGATTCTTATTCATACATGTTGTGTGTGTGTGTGTGTGTGTGTGTGTGTGTGTGTGTGTGTGTGTATGTGTTGGCTTGTTTTGTTGTTTTTTTTTTCCTTCTACACAGGTAATGTACACCCCAGGCCCAAACCCACATGAATGCAGGATTGGTCTAGGAAATCTCAGGAACTATTTACTGTTGTTTCCCTCCACAAAGCCAAGACTGAGACAGTCTCAGTTATGTGCTTCTTCTTCACCCACTGATTATGTCACCTTTGTTGGGTCCACACTCCAGGCAGTCTCTCAGATCCAACTTCCCACTTTGAGCCCAAAGAGTTTTGTTTACTATCTTCTATATGTGCTATCTCTTAAAGCCCAAGTTTTAAGCTAGAAATGTGTCAATCCTTTGACAATGGCCCACAGAAGAAACATTTTTTCTACTTTGCCACTCAATAAATCCATTTTATGCCACTCAATGAAAACATTTATGTGTGTTTATATGTATATATTTTTAAGTTAAATCCAAAAATATGTTTTTTGTAATCCACTGTATTATGTTGT